TATGTTGTTTATTGTCCCCTGTTGCAGAGTGAAGTGAGGAACTGAAATTGCCCATTGATCGTTCATCTGTCAGTCCATGTCTTGCTGTCAAATGTATGTGTAATGTGTTTACAAATGTGCTTACTAGTAGAGTTTTTTGATGTCTTAAATTGTGTCCTGATAAGGTCAAGGTTTGAATATATCTTTTTTGTAATACCACTATTCTATCCTCATGGCCTTTTCCCCTTTTCTATCTAAAAGAATAAGGGACCGTGCTCTTCGGAGCAGCACCATCGTGCTCTCCGCCCATCTTTCAGATGACTGTATGAACATAATCTCACTGTTTTTTAGATTTTTCTACCTGGATTATTGAGCATGCATCAGGATATAATCACTGTATTTCAGTACAATGATATTAAAGCTTATGCTGATTCTGATACTTTTCGTCTTCTTCTCCTCCCTTGAGCATATTGCCTACAACACATGAACATAACACTTAATGTCACTTTCAGGAGTTAGATATTTTATTATAGTTATAAGAAATACATAAACTCTACTGTCTTAAATTCAGATTTTATTTGATATAATCAATTTTACAAATTCTCAAATTAGACCTGGAAGCGTTTGGTTGGGAATTTGCTGTTTGCACTGATGGTTTCTGGGGGGAGTCTGGAGGGGTAACAAGGTGCTGGTGATCTTCTTTTCTGTCTTTGATATTATGGTATGTGTCTCTCCACTTTCTGCATTTTTCTCTTTCACTTAAATCATTGATCCTTTTCTTCCTGCCTGATTGTCGGTCCTTCCTGTGTTTCTCTTTCCTTCTCTAGATATCTTTCCCTCCTCTCTGGGTCGGCATCACGTCGAGCGCGATAGAGCCGCTGCTTTTCTGCAGCACTAAGTGATGGCTTGGCTCCCTGTCAGTACGAATTAATATCATGAAACTGAACATATATCTCAACAATTTAACAATCAGATAAATGGTCTAATACTGAATAATGTTTGCAAATCATTTAATCATTGAGAAACTACTCAGTCCTGTTACACTTTGTAAGAGTAACAGGACTGAGTTTTTAGCATAAAGTTAGCAAATACATGAAATATAGCCACATGGCATCCTTGCTAATAGCATGAAGCATCTGAGCGCATTCTAGTGATTTACCTAAATTTATTTATTTATTTATTAACAAATGAAAACAAAGATATAATTTAGGTAACAGGAGAGTATGTTGAGATTGACCTTTTCATCCATAGTTGAAACATGATCAAATTTACATTAAAAATAAATGGAATAATTTACTTTTGGTCTTCCCATGACTTTCAGAAGGTCAAACTGATAAAACTTCATGTTGACCATGTCACTTCTGGATTGTTCCAAATTTTTCAAATAGGCTAATATGTTATGGTAACAGGACTGAGTGAAAACCAAGGGACACAACTAAAATATGTATTTTAACAAAAATATAAGATTTATTTTAATAAAAATATATCCATCCATCCATCCATTTCCTTTACCCGCTTGTTCCATTTTGGGTCATGGGGGTCGCTGGTGCCCATGTCCAGCAATCACTGTGCGAGGGGCGGGGTACACTCTGGACGGGTCACAAGTCCATCACAGGGACACGTGGAGACAAACAAGACAAACAACCATTCACTCCACCCAGAAAGGCCCCTGGACCGGGGTTTGAACCAACGACCTGCTCGCTGAGAGGCAGCAGCCCTACCAGTTGCGCCACCTGCCCAATAAAAATATATATAAACCATAAATGGGATTAGCAGTCACACACACACACAAAAATCAACAGTTCTTTGGGATTTTATTTATTACATTTTATTGTAAAATGTAAGGTTACAGAGTGAGGACAGGTGACAAAAGCTGTTTCTTCAGTATTCTTGTAGTTTTTAATCATCTTTATCATGTATCTTAAATTTGCAATTGGATCACATGCAGGACATTTTCTTTCATAAGAAAATACATTTTGCAGCTAATTTTTATATGCATTTATAGATATAATTTCAAGGGGACGTAAAAGGCACCCATTCGGTGGAATGACCCATTTAGATGAGTTGTGTTGAACACAAGTAAAAAAGTTGTGATGTTTTTTATTTCTCTATAAACACAAATAGTGCCGACCTGATGCTGTGTGTTAAAGTTAAAATGTCTTTAAAACCCACAGCTGAATTTACACAAACTTGATGAGAAACAAGTTTTAAATGTGTGGAATTAAAGGAAATCTAGGTGAAATGCTGCTTTTTTTGTTCACTAGTTTACACCTTTTTTTACGCATTCGGGCGCACACACCGTGTCCCCCCCACATTACGGAGGCTTCTGACACCCTTGGATTCAGTAACTCCTTTAGAGTACGACACAAGAAGTAGCACTAAGCTAGCGATGCGCAATACAGATGCAGTAAGATGCTACAGATGTAGTGCTCAACTTTACATTACACAACCTAATAAAATCAGTTTAGTGTTAACTGATCATAACAAAGACAAAACTCAAGCAACCAGAAGTTCTGACATTGCATTTAAAACATGAAACAAAAAACTAGCTTTAAGCATTAACCTTTAATCTAACCCGTAAGCATACAATGTAATTATGATTTTTTTTAAAAGGATTTACTTTTCAGAATCAGAATAAACTTTATTGGAATTGCACCGAGATACAACGTGAATATGTACGTAGTCATCTGAAAGATGGGCGGAGCACACGAAGCTGCAACTATAGAAAGCACGGCCTTCTTATCTTTATCAGATAATAATCTTAGATAGGAAAAGGGGGAGAAACATGAGGGTAGATAGTGGTATTACAAAAAAATATCTTTCACATCTTGTCTATCAGGACACGATTTGAGACATAAAAAAAAAACTACCAGCAAGCACAATTAAAACATGATTACATTTGCATTTGACATCGAGGTGTTGAGATTTGTCCATGAGCGTTTTTTTCAGATCAGCCAGTTTCTGAAGATGTTGTTCCAGCCAGCAGT